TATATATATATATATATATATATATATATATGCATGTATACATATATACATATGTATGTACATATGTATATATGTATATATGCACATATATATATACATATATATGTATATATATATGTATATATATTGGATCATAATGTTATTCGGTGGAGAAGTATTCCATTAGTGAAGATTAGCACGAAACAATGATATTTTATATTTTCAGCTATGATTTGCAGCATCGTATAGTGGTGGTCATCGTTTTATGAAGAGTATCTAGCGCTTGATATGATGTGGTCATGCGTTTTGCACATGTTTAGTACACATTTTTGAATTGGAATTCTTCAATTAACTAATCGAACTTTCAGCCACAATATCGAAATCCGTGGGATAGTCCTTTGGTGCAACAAACGATTGAGCGATATAAAACGGTAAAGCCGTACTTGGTGAAAATGCTAACGGAGCATCGGCAAAACGATTTATTAGCGCAAAAATATCAGACTGAAAAATACAATATGATGTATGCAGAATGGTTGAAGAAAGATGAAAGGTACTGCAAAAGTCAGAAAAAAGTGTAAGTTTTTCACCGTTTTTCTGTATTGTTTATTAGCATTTAATATTAATTAGTTTGTTTCGGTCTATTTTAAGTAGGCATGGTAGCCATTTTTCCAACTTCTTGTTCTATTTTTTGCAGTGCGCGTGATGAGAAGCATCGGGAAATATTTGAGAAAACATTTCCGGAATTGAAAAAAACACGAGAAGAACGAGAGCGATGTGGAAGAGTGGGACTTTTATCCGCAGAACAGTTGGAACAGGTTAAATTAGTTGTAGATTAGATTCTTATAATTATTAGGTTCATTTTGTATTTCTGAAACTGAAATTGATAGGATTCAACTGATGGGGTGGCAGCGATTAGCTCAGTGGTTTAAAGGATTTTATTTTTTGGAGTCATGGTTGCACAGCGGACTACTCGAGCCGTCATTGTAGTTGACGAAATGAAAGCTTGATATATGTTACAATGTGCAACTGAGGCCAAATACTTCACACTGTACGTCCATCACCATTGAGGGAAGGACAAGCTAACATTTAGTGAAAATATTAGTGGAAAGCGTGGTGTATAGTCATGAAATTGTTCTGTTTTAACTGTTCCATGGATCTTCTTAGATAAGGTGTAATGTGCTTTCTTTGCTATGCAATATTTTCAATCTTTCCTTTCGGGAATTGTTCCGGAACCTTGTTTTTAGCTCATATTTTAGATGATATCTTATGTTTTAGATAATATTATGTTGACTGTAATATAGGCTTAATTACAGGATGAAGAGTATAAAAGACGACGCGCAGCTGCGGCATTACCACCAATGATGATGAATTTAAGGATGCGCAATGCACCATTTTATATAGATTTGAATGGAGTTGTGGCAGATGCATTGGCTGATCATAATGCTCATATTGAATATTTTTTGGGAAAGTGGACAGATGATGAAAAAAAAGTAAGGCAAATTTTCTGCACTTTGTAAATTTTTCCACTGCATCATTGCTGTCATTGATATTTCAGACTGTCTTAAATAGGGATAAAAGAATATTGATTTTGGCATTTATCACCTTTTTTCCAGACTTTCAGGGAGCAAATTGTTACATACGGCAAAAATTTTGCGGCGATAGCTGAATTTCTAGATCGAAAAAGTGTAAAAGATTGCGTGCTTTACTATTACTTGACCAAAAAGCGCCAAAATTACAAAGCATTGATGGGAAAGAAGCGGAAGAAGCCGCCAAGATGTTACAAGCCACCGATAATGCCACGCCTTGAAGAAGTAGCACTAAAAGCACCACAAGATGCGAATGATATCACCAGTAAGCTTCTCCTTCTGCTTTTAATTTCATTTTCTTAAAATCTTAACATTCGGATTCTTTCATAGAGATGTAAGCGGAGTCTGGCAATAAAGCATGTATTTTAAAAAGAAGATATCTGAGAACTCCTAGTAATATATTCCATAACCACCGTGTTATTGTTCCACACCTCTAATACTAATCAGACAGAATTATATGAATATCCTTATGATGTCGAATCTATAGATATACCAGTTTCTCAAGCACTTTGAATCCATCGATGAATACAGGATATAGATCGGTTTTAAATTCATTTTTATTAATTGTTAATCATGAAGTTAGATTAGTTATGCTGCGCACATATAATTAAAAAACAAACGAAGTAAGTCATAAATAACTCATACTGTAGTTTTTTGTTACAGTAAAGAAAAATCGATGGTTGCATTTCTGCTTTATGAGAAATAAAGTTGGAGTCGTATTTAGATTTTTTTTTCACTCTGGTCTTCGTAATGTTTTTCAAACTGTGTTATAGTGGTCTTAGTCTTAACTTTTAATCCAATTTCAGTTGTTGGTTCACGAGAACTTGAGTGTTGTATTTGTAAAGCAAAAGTGAATAGTGGTTCAAATACTGGTCGAATACTTACTCGTTTAACATTAGATGCATCCGGTTACGATGCCAGTTCAGCAAATGAAATTGATATTTGTGTGTGCCAGAAATGCAAGGCAAAGGGGATTAAACCAAAAGCTGTGACGTATGCCCTTAATTTGAATATTTAACGGATGATAAAATATCGTTTTCATAACTTTTATACTAGGCCCTGAAACTTGTTTTTCGTTTTTTCTTTTCGGAATTTGTCGAACTGTATTTTTATGTTTTAGGCGTTGCCAAATTGGTACATGCCACAATCCGCGCCGGAAAGTGAAACCAACACGACCGATGCCAGTGAAATGGAAACTGATTACGGATGAACAGAAACAATTTTTAATGCATCAAATGTTGATACCAGAAGATATATTAAAATGTTGCCCTGCATGCCATAAGAAGATCTCTAAACAATTAGATATGGTAAAGTTTTTAAATGTTGGAAATGTTACATGATTATTAGATGGTAAAGTTTTTAAATGTTGGAAATGTTACATGATTATTAGAATCCCACAGTATTATTATGAGTGACACCTAACTTCTCTGCATTTCGACTAGTTAATTTGCATTTTCGGTTTAAACCAACCATTTTCAATTAGCTGCTGGTACTTCAAGTACTACCTTGTTTTTATTTAGTTTTAGGCTGCTTCTGAATGATTTGGTTTTTGTTTCCATTTCATTATCACTATCCAAAGAAACAGTAAATTATACAAGGCTGAGAAAGTTTTAGTGGGAGTTTTTTTTAATATTTTCAGTGAACGATTGCAATTTTTTTAGCTTATCGCTGGTGAATTGGAGGAAGAAATGGCTTTATGGAAGAAGTCTTCTGCTGTTATTTGGAGCAGTGAAGAAGTGGAAATATTACGCGCCACAGTCACTTCAGTAGGTGGGAAAGATTGGGATGCCGTGGCAGAAAAAATGGGTAATAAATATAGTGCCAAGGTATGTTAGCTTTGAAAACGGATGAACTATTGATTTGATGATAAATTTGAAGTTGGTTCACTCCTCTCATTCAAACGAGCATTTTTAAATACAGCACTGCCGAGAACAGTATGAAAAGATTTATGGTTTGGAAAGCGTCAAAAAAGAAGTAGAAAGCGAAGATGATGTTAGTGAAGACGATAGAGAGAATCCACAATTGCAGCAAACTGGTGTTGCAGTTAAGAATGATATTGCTGAACCGGATCCGAGGTTCGCGCTTTCCATTCCGTAGGTTTTTTCTTCAGTTGTTTGAAAAGATCATTGTTGAATAAATTATTGCAATTTTGCCGGGAAAGAATATGGAATCTGAAAACGACAAATTGTTTAGGAAGTGACTAAAATTACTTCGCGTGACAATGATTTTTATTTTTGTATCTTATAATCCCTTTTGATTCTTTATTCCTCAATAAATTTCTTATCCACAATATTGTCATACTACGTAACATTTCAGCGGTGAAAGCAGTGCAACATTAAGCGCTGATGAAGCAGCCAATCACGATGATTGTGTTATTTTATTGCCTCCAGTTGCAAAATCACCGTCAACACACTTATATAAACCAAGGTTTCGTGGTACTTCTGGACTGGCTTCAGAAGCTCCGATTTTATCTGTAAGTAGTTCCCACTTGCAACTGTCAAAATTCAAGGAATCAGAAACTATGTCATCTTCATTGACATGTCGTAAATCTGACGCAAGTGCCTCCTCGTCGTCGGATCTTTCGAACATAGATGATATCACAAAAACGACTTCCCTAGCGCCGCAGTCATCCTTTGTTGGAAGTGCACTTCTTGCAACACTTACTTCCTCCACTCCGGATTCGATGCCTGCACGATCTTCTGCTCAGGTATGTAAAATTTTCTAGTTTTTTCCAGAAATTTAATCTGACTGTTTAATCACGATAATATTATAATAAGTCCTAACGTTTATATATATTTCGAAATTCAGAGTATTGAACAAATGGACTGTGCTTTGCTGATGTGGATAGGTTGAATCATTAGTATCCCTATCCTACTTAAGCTACGAAAATGTTTTCTACAAGATTGGTTTTTATACCGTCGTCATTAACTTCTGTGGGTGGATATAGTAGAATATATAGGTTGTCATACTGTTGCAAATACAGTTGCTTAATTAACGGGAGTCATACTACATCAGTATGGTGAATCCAAATTATTCAAGTTATCTTTGAGTAGTAATTTTGTCCATAGGGATTTATAACTGAATAAGATTTAATGATGATGGCAAGGCCGTCGTCGTTCCTTATACAAATTTTATTTTCCATGATAATTGAAGTACTTTTGAAGATGGAAATCGATAGATTACCTCCATGCTCAGTCTCAGTAACGAGATCGTCAACTTCAACAGTTACCCAGTCGGTTCCGTCTGTACTTGGAAATATCGTCAGAGGTTCGATCACCCAAGGTTCCTCATTTTATTAGAAAATTATCATTTGCATACACATACTTCATTTCAAAAAATTTCCTGATTTTGATGAAATAGTTTGAAATCCGTTCTGCGACAGCGCAATTCTGACAAGTTGGCTTAGTCGCATTGTCTTCTCATTATCATATGACAGATGAAAGATCTATTATTATTCCGATTAAAATTGTGGTATATACTTATAAGATTACTTTTTACTTCATTTTTAAACTGTTGACAACAATTATCTTGAATGAATTTTGGCTTGTTTATAGGGACGCCTGTGATGAGACCACCATCGTCACCAACCCCCAATAATGATTTATTGTTAGAAAAAATGAAACAAATACAAATGCTTTCTGCTGGAACGGTTGCTACCGGTGCATCTTTAGCAGCAGCGGTAGCAGCAGCTAATAATATTGCGACAAGTTCCACGCCATCAGTCCCAACACCAACACTGCAGCCTAATGCAAATGCAGCTGCAGCACTTCCTTTTTTACAGAATTCATTGGCAGCAGCAGCAGCCGCTGCTGCATTTCCTACTGCTGCTGCTGACCCGAGTATGTCGTCGTTGGCTGCTTTCTATAATCAGCTAGCAGCAATGGATCCCACCATGCAAGTGAGTATCTTTTTTTCCTCCGGGAGAAATAGTTTTTATTTTTTCCCTCAGAGAAAATTCGAAAATTTAGGCAAATTTGCAATTTGTATTTTCATGGCCTAGAGGCGTTTAATACTAATTTTTTTTAGTATGCTATGACAATGAAGATAATGCAACAAGCTGCACAACAACATGAATATGAACGTCGATTAGCTGCACTACGAGGTTACAGTCAATGATTGTTTTATTGTTTCTTTGGGGCTGTTAATTATAATTGGGGAGTTAATTCAGTTAATTCATTACTACGAGCAAAAGTTTAAAGCGCCACTGCATTTTTTAGCAAGCAGTGTGGTTGACCAGTACCGACAGCAGGCTTTGGCTTTGGGTCTTTCTGAGCAACAACAACAACAACAGATACAGAGCAGCCATCAGCAGCAACAAATGAATGCATTAGCAAATGATCAAGCAAAACTCCTGGTCAGTTTTAGATTTTTCATGAGAAAAAGAAACGGAAGATTTTTTCTTTTGTGGGAATTATTTTGATTAACCTTGAAATTTAATCTGCGCAAAATTGTACCTGAGCTGTTATTTATGAAGTTATCCCGACTAAACTTAAAGTTCCATCAGCGTAAACTATATTTGAATTTTTTGCAGTTATGGCAACAACTGATGCAGCAATCGACCAATATGAAGCCGTTGCAACAACAACAACAACAACAACAACAACAAACAATACCACAAACAGTTAACTTACAACGTACGGCAGCGGCAAACACAATGTTAGCTGCAGCTGCAGCGTCCGCAAGTGTACATCCATCGGTTGCAGCCCACTTAAGTGCTCAACCAAATACTCAACAACAACAACAAGTAAAGCAGTTTATTACAACAGCAACAGCATCGGCAGCAATATCTCCAAATATCTCGGGCAGAATGGCAGCAGGTAGTACAGAATCGCAACGTACAAACATGCAACCACTTTCGTCAACAGCTTCTCAACTCTACAATGATTTTCGTAATGCTGAACAAATGCGTAAAGAGCTAGATGAAAATGTACGACAGGTGGAAGCACAACAAAAACTTGTACGATATATTTTTATTTATTGCTAGCAGTGTATTTAAACAGTATAACGTCGCTATTTCATGTGGAATCGGAAGACGTGCATGTGACGAAAGTTGTCTTAACGTTAGCTATAGAACGAAAATGCAGCGAGTGCTTACATCCTCTGCAGGATGACACTGAACTTATCTATTACTCACAGTTCTTTCTAAAGTATTTACGAGAAAACTGTCCTATCCCGACCATTTCATCGCGTGGGCAGGAAAGATATTGAACAGAATTATCGCAGTACGATGGCAGATTAGGTTTGAAACGTATCAGCTGAGGGGAGAAGATATTAACCATCTGACGAAAAGTTATTCGGGTACATAATATTTTTCCCCGTGAATTCATGCACATTTATTGTACATGAATTCAAAGCATTGATAACTCCTTCTTTATTAGCGAAATAAGGATAAGTCTGTTGCAGTTATGGTAATTCATCTTAGAAATAGCTAAAGAAATATATATCATTCGTTTCATATGTTCATATGTATCATTTTTTCTTTTTTTTAGCAGGAAGAAATCCGTTATATAGAGCAACAGCGAAGGCGTGTCGTCGAAGTAAGTTGTGTTTTGGATACTGTGTGTTCTATAGCAAAGTGTATTTGACAGTTCTACTTTTTTCATATCCACTGATGTGAAGATTATCGAAGAAGGATTATATTTGTGGAATATGCTGCAAGATCCCTAACTTATTCATTTATTAATTTGTTTCATTAGCGGGAATGTTGTTGGAAGATGGTGAAATTAATTCTCTTGGAAACAGGATTTTAATCTCTTTTATTTTTATTGGAAATATGTTTCGAAAAATATTTATTTTAGCCGAATTTCCGAATCATTCCAGGAAGAAGCCCGTATCAGTGATGAATTAAGCCGAGTGTCGCAGATTGAATATCCACGTGCTTTACGATCGCAGGATGGCGAGGCTGCGCGTGTTCATTTGCAAACTATAGAACGTCTTAAGGAACGACATACAGCAATGCAGCATTATTTGCGAGCTTATGACGAAGGATTAAAGGCACTCAGTGGTTAGTTTTATCAATTTTTGTTTTTTGGCGTACTTAAAAAGTCCGTTTATGGGCTGCACTTTCGGGAGCACAATTACTGCAACCGCTGAACATGATATATGAGACGTCCCAACTGCATTGCCATAAAGTGATTTTCTATTTTTCAGAATCTTAATTAGAACTTCAGTGCCGATCTTTTTGATCCCTAAGTAATATTTTTTCATATTGCTTTTTTAGGAAGAAGTGCATTAACATCTGCTGGTTCTCCCGGAGTAATAGTGAGAGGTATGGGTGACGAACGTACTACTGCCGCTAGTGGTCCTGTTAGCAAAGGTGCTATGAAGGAATTTCCTCCATCGGTAACCAGGATTGGAGTTACTTCATCATCACAGACTATATCTGGTCAGAGTCTGATTGGCATAAAACGAACTTTGAATGATTCTGCGCTTGCAGCAGCAGTTGAAGGACGAGTAAGTATTGACTTGTTCAGAGCATTACGTTTTTGATTTGAATATATTTTTAGACCTAATTCAAAAGGCAACAACCTTGTCGAATTGGCGTTCTCTTTAGCCTTCAGAGGCAGACTATTTGAAAAATGTTTAAGAAAACGTCATCAGGAAAGTGTTATCAGGAAAAGTGACTTGAATTCAAATAAATGGTGCTTTTCAGTTTTATGGAATTGTTTTTGTCTAAAATTTCACGCGTCTACAATCCATTTTGGCCATTTTACCATACTGTAAATAAGATATTTCGAAACTTCAAAAAAACTCAAATTTTGCAAACAAAATTATTCTGCAGTTTGCTGGACAGAGCACGTCATGCGACTCAGCTGCGCCTGAAGGATGCACTACAAATCGACGTTCACGTGTTGACTCTCACATATATCGGAAAGGTTGGTGCTTCGTGACTGGAAGTCATACTTTTTATAGAATAGAATTTTTTCACGTTTTATTCGACTAATTTGTGGGAATTTCAATATGGTTTTTTCCTGGATGGGGTATGTGAATGACTGAAAACATATTCTATCTTCATAGGATTGGACAGCACAATGTTCGATTCAGGATCAACATCGCATCTCTTGCGTGCACAGAGCCATAATATGTCTTTCGACGAGGAATTTAATCGCACTGAGCATCGAAATATGCAGAATAACTATGAAATTAAGCGGAAATCAGGTGATTTTGCAAATCTAAGCGATTTTTTCAAATCCAGATTAATGAAAAAGCATTCAAATCGATTTTTTTCGAATTCATTTCAGCTTAACTTTCCTTATGTGGATTTTTAGTTATGAGTTGGAAATCTGACAAAAATTTCATGGGAGGCGGTATCGTGAAATCCATTAATTTTAGGATTTCGATTCGTTTCAAAAATTTTCTTCGTTAACCAATTTTCAGGCATTCACACCGTGTATCTTCCATCTTTATCCGATGTTCACCATATTCCAAGTGTGAAAACGCCTGCAGCAAGTCAAAAACGTGTCGCGTCACCGACAGTTACTGCCACTGCGCATTTTGTTTGTACCACACCGAATAACTCTCCACCTACATCTCCACATCCACAACCACTTGCAGCTTCAGCTCCTTCAACATCCATATCTCGAATATCTCCAGCTCAGCAGCAGCATCACTTTCCTCAGTTTGTGCCCACTTTGTCGCAGCATCAAGCCAGATTTTCACCATCTCAGTCCACCTCTGCTCCAAGTACTGTAAGTGTTTCTCCACATGGACTTCCAACGACTGCTATTCTTGGACGTCCAGTCGTAAGCCCCGTAAACAGTTATACCTCTGGAGTACGTACTCCAGTTTCCGCACTCGTTTCACCGCGGACACCCCTTTCCATCAATCCAAATCTGCCATGTTCACATTCAACACATGTTTCACCACGTAATTCATCAAGTTTACTCGTATCAACACCTACGACTTCGTCTCCTTTCCAGGTTCTTTGATATTTTGCTAGTAAAAGAATGGTCAGTAATACTTTACAAACGACTTTTGGAAAAATTGAAAAAGCTTGCGTAAAATTTTTCCTATCCTGGAAAGTTTCTAAAATTTGATGCGAATAAGGCGAGTGTGAAGTTGAATGCATGACAAAAAAAGGCATCAGTTAAAACCGTTGTAGATGAAACATTTGAATCAGGGTGTGTTTGATCAAACAAGGAAAAGGGCTAGTGGTATTCTGGAGTCAGTGTTAGGGTCAATTTGCATAAAACTTTCTCCAAGTTTTTCGATTGGAATTTTCCATTAAACTGCAACGACTTTTGTAGCATAAACCTTATTTTTCCATGCTTCTTAAAATATTTCCTTACCTTTTGTAATAGTCGATCTATAAATTGTTTTTTTTTTTTTTTTTTAACCACTTCTCGCATGTTACGTTTGATCCTTTAGAACTGACTTTTGGAGGAGGTTTATTGAATATTCCATGTTCCAATGTTACTGTAGAGCAGGTGTTTCTTTTTTTTTTTTTTTTTTGAGGACAATTTGCACTGTTACAGATATCGACATTAGGGATCTTATCACCGAAGGTATCATCTCAAAGTATCTCCAGTTCACCGACATATCAGACACCTGCAGTTGTTCCTGGAAATACTTTGGGCGCATCGGTTCCTTCCATGCTTGTAACAGGCGCGGTAGATGTTAATGATGATGGTGCGAATGCGATAATAACTGCAACTGAGGTATGATACATCTTCCAAAATAAAACTGCATCTGTAGTGATTCTGTAGAATTTAAGCAAATATGTCATTTTTGCTGTCGTTATAACAGGTAGTTTATAATTTGCTTGAAACACCTATTATTTAGGTTTGTTTAGTTTTGTGATGAAATTTGGTTAAGTACTATGGAATTTTTTTTCAAGTTTGATCGTGTGATTTTATAAAAAAAAAATGAAAAAATTTACGAAAAGAAAATGAATAAATTGTAGGACGAAGGAAAACAAACCCTTATAGAAAATCAGCAGCGCTCGGAGTCTGTTGCTGTCGCGAATTACGAACCGCTATCACCTGATACCTCCGATACCGCACCTACATCTCAAACAGGTTATTTTTCACTTTTCTTCTCTAACTTGATGTAGTGCGAATTTATGGATCGAGTTCTTTTAAATTCTTTTAATTTTGACCTCAGATTCCCAAACTATCGGGAAGCGGGCATTTCAGAGCACCTAGGTTATTTTCGAGTAAAGAAAGTTTTTGGGTTGCTTTTTCTTCAAACTCTATTCATATCTAAAGATATTTTCAAATCATTATTATTCTATATCCAAAATTTCAATTTTTTTTTTTTTTGATAACGAAAGTTGGACTTTTGTGTAATATATGAATATAATATGTTATACTACTAATTTGATAGCCTAGAGAATTGCCGTTACTTTTATTTAAACCCATGAAACAAAACCTAATAAACTTGTATGTAATTCGTGTCATTTTTTTTCAAGTGGATTTCAGACTCTTCTACCGATCAGGCTACAAATTTACCTCTTTTTTCATTTCTGAATTTGCCGGATAATGGAAATGGTACACTAAGTGCTCCAACAATCCGACCAGTTGCTTCTTCTCCGGATGATTCCCTGTCAAATACGCGAAATATACCAACTGCAAATATTATTCCACCTCAGTTAATAACAACAACGACAAGTGGGAACATGACATTGCCTATGAAACCACCACCGCAACCGATACGATAAAGGCAATCTGGAGAATCAGATCACATTTGACTAAATATTTCGTGATATAAAAATAAAAAACAATTAAGATAACAATAAAGACATATTGAATTGAACTATTGATGGCCATAAAACGACCACAGTTTGAAACCAAAATACCAATTTAGAAAGAAGCAATCAATCAGTAAAAAACTACGTAGTAGAACGACCCCATGGCAGGTCGA